AATTTTATCTTTTATTACCAAAACTCGTCGCAATCTGTGCGCATATCAAAGCGGTTGAAATTTTCAATGCTAGTATTCAGAACTTATGGATTCATTTTCGTACTTAAGTGATCATTGTTATCTAACTCGTTTGCCTTTCGTGATTGAAGAATTATCTCGCTCTTTAAATCTCTTTTGTAGAATCTCTTACAAAAAGCTACAATACCGATAGTAATCGTGTACGATACAAAGTTTAATTTAACTGATGGATATGTTAGTAGCTTAGCGTTCCGTCACGACGTAAGTATGAGGCCGAAAGAAGAACGAAAAGCCAGACATACATCGTTTGTATTTTTTTTAATTCATTAGAGATTTGTTAAACAATCAACAATTGTTTTAGCGTTTATGATTCATGATACAGAAGAAGAATGGGTTCATTGCCATTTCCGTGAGTTAACCGAATTTGGCTGATTGAAAATCCTTTTTTTGCATATCAGTTTTTCTATTTTCTCTACTAATTATTATCTTTTTAGCACGTAAATACGTAATCATCTGCAACTGTTTCATGTCAATGAAGTTTACAGAGGTTATGCTGGGTATGGTAAGCTTTTTATTATGTAGTATTTTAAAAAGAATCGAAGTATTTTTCTTTTTAGGAAATTTTAAATTAAAACCATCATTTGAATTTTTATCAATGGATCGTTCATCGGTACACTCTCTTGATTGTTATCATCCGAGTGATTTAGTTCAAAATTTAAGAGAACGAATGACGGTCCAAGTAAGTGTTCCTTTCTTAGAGCGCTTCAGTTTTTCATACATGCATCTTTTTCATTTTGATTTCTTGTACGTCTGTTTCTTCTTGTTTTTTAGATGACAACGAAAATCAATGTGAATCAACGCCGAAAAGAGAAAAACCGATGTCACTTTATCAGCTTAGCCATTATTTAATTCCAAACGAACACGTAAGATTTAACGATACATCAGGCATGTATTTTTGCTAACGAATCATTTATTATTTTTTTAACTAAACTATTATTTAGTCTTATTGCCATTTTAGGCGTATTTATCGTTGAAAATAAATCAAAAGCTGAAACCACAATTGTTCAATTGAAACTGAATGAAAAACGTGTACCTTATTTCTGGTGTTTATGTGCAGTATCGAATTTACACAAGAGAAAATATGACTGTTTACATGTTATGGCCGTTAAACGACAACAAAACATTCATGTTATTGAACCGAAAGCAAATTTATCAATATTACGTAAAGCAAGTAAAATAGAAGCAAGAATAAAGAAGACGGGAGAAAAGACACCAACAGCATGGGATAAATCTCATGTAAGAGCCTCAGCGATTTTTTTCTTCTTTTGGCTTAGCCTAATAAGTTCTTTACTTTGATAGTTTAGAAATCAAATACTGCTAATCCAATTAAAAAACGTGCTAAACGTGTATTAACAGCGAGTGTAAAGGTACATTTTCCGCACTTTTTGTTGCTTTGTTTTACTTCATGAAATGCTCTTTCTACTTCTAGAAACGTGCAGTTCTTTCGATACGTTATGATTTATTGAATGAAGCTATAGAACAGATGTGAAAGACAGTAAAAGCTCAAATTGTACAGAATGCCAAACAGTAACCATTTATTTTTTCTAACAGTAATTTTGATACCTTTTTCTGGATTTGTGTCGTTTTATATATACCTTTTTTTGACGTCAAGGCATGCGATAAACAAGCAATATTAATATATCCTTCGTTCGTTAGATGTCTATGTCGTGTTTTGTCCTTTTCTATACCTTCGATTTTTTCTGAATTTATAGAAACTCTTTGATGATTTTTTTCCATTTCTATGTTATGAAATCAAAGTTTTGAAATTACTTTTCTTTCTTATCTGGATAATGCTTCTCTTCCAGGTCTTGTTTCTGATACGATTTTTGTGCTTTACCGGTGATAACAATAGTTTTATTTCTGTTGCTGTCTGCCATAAAAATAAAACAGTTACTGTTATAAAGACATTACGGATTTGCTAGTTTAAATTGTACAATGCTGAAATAAATTTTATTTCGAAGAAACTTCAACAAAAAAAAAGACTAGGCAAATTAGAAAAGATCTTTCGTTAGCTATGTTTAAACAAATAACTTCCTTCGTGCTTCTAAATAGTTTTTAAAATAAGCCAAATACTGTATTTTGTTAATGAACGTTGCGAGTGTCAAAAATATTTCTTTCTTTAACAGTTCGAAGGAGAGATGGCTGAGTATCTTTGCTGTATGTCGTCGCTCAGTACTGGTCTAAGAAACATAGACCACTGTTTATTATCTTCAAATAACTTCCCTCTGAGCCAACTTGACATCGCTCAAAGGACAAAATCGACTTGACAACCAAGGACCAAAAACCAAGGACTTGGTTTTCCAGCAACCCTATTATCAAGTTTTCTCATGAAACGGTGATATGCACCTCATCTGATAGAAGAATCATCAGAATCAGAGTTAGTATTGTTTAGACATTCATGTTTTACGAGAAGATGAGAAAAACTTTTAAATTATTGGAACCTATTGCATGCGAAAAATAGATTAAAAAACTGAGCAACTCAGCTTACTATTGCACTGGTACAAAAAATCTCTTAATCCTTTTGATACTCAAATAAAACTCTTTACTACTATACATAAAGTTCAGTTCAAGTAGTGTCATTTCAAAATCGAAAAAT